TTAAGAAAAGCGTGTTACTACACATTTGATATCTTCGTTTTTTAGCTGCATTATGGCAGGGCTTTACTATTTTAAAGAGCTCTTAGAAGTTGAAAAAGACTATCCTGTATAAAATGGGAGAAGTGGTGGCGGGGTGTGGTGGCTCACACCTGTAATCTCAGCACTTTGAGTTGGGTGGATGACCTGAGGTCAGCAGTTTGAGAGTAGCCTAGACAACATGATGAAACCCCATCTCTACTAAAAATATCAAAAATTAGCTGGCCGTGGTGGGAGACGCCTGTAATCCCAGCTGCTGGGGAGGCCGAGGCATGAGAATCGCTTGAACCTGGGAGGCGAAGGTTGCCGTGAGCTGAGATCACAACATTGCAGTCCAGCCTGGGCAACAGAGTGAGACTTTGTCTCAAAAAAGGAAAAAAAGAAAAAAAAAATCTCAGCCTGTTAAGCAAACAGAAAACAGAACTTACCTGTAACTAGAAGTTAACCAGAAGCTTTCAAAAATGTAGGAGTTGACAAGCAAGTCAAGAAAACAGGAAAATCGTTTATGTGATCCCTATAGTAAAAGAAATCAAAACCAAGGTAAAATTAGAAATAGAGGCATTTTCAGCCGGGCATAGTGACTCAAGCCTGTAATCCCAGCACGTTGGGAGGCTGAGACGGGCAGACCACGAGGTCAGGAGACCGAGACCATCCTGGCTAACACGGGCGAAACCCCGTCTCTACTACAAAATACAAAAAAAAAACAAAACTAACCGGGCGGCGTGGCAGGCATCTGTAGTCCCAGCTACTCGGGAGGCTGAGGCAGGAGAATGGCATAAACCCAGGAAGCGGAGCTTGAGGTGAGCTGAGATCCGACCACTGCACTCCAGCCTGGGCGACAGAGCGAGACTCAGTCTCAAAAAAAAAAAAAAGAAAGAGAGGCATTTTCTAAATGAAATTTAAGCCTGCCAGATTGGAAGGACAATATCAATATAATACAGTCTCTTCCATTAATGTTTAACACTTGTCCTATACTGAGCTATACATTTGCCCTACTGATGAAATGGAATCTGAACTTGGGATACTGATACTGTGGGAAGAATGATAAAATTGATATTAATTACAGCAACAGTCTAGTCCCTGGACCAGGCCCAGGAAAACAAAACAGAAGCCTACTCAACTAGGATTAACAATTCAGTTAGCAAGGGGCCAGGAGGCCTATTGTAATTGAGTGGTTTTCAGTCTCTGGATTACATGGAATTACCTAGAAGCTTTTCCACACCCAGACTTTTCAGATGTTCTCATTTGTTAGGCCTGAGCCAAGGCCCAATTCTCTATTTCTGCTTGTTCATTTCCTGTAGGTAATTCTGATATATAGAAAGACTAAAGACTAAGAACAATTCCTTGAATATAGTGACACCCTCTACCTGGAATAGTCCAAATTCTAATTACCCTGATTCCTCCACCAACAGTTCCCAAACTGTTGTACTAGAAAGTCTTGTGAATGATCTTCGGGGGAAAAAAAAATCATGGCCATATAAATTCATTGTTCTGAGAGGTCCCGTTGAATTTACCAAGCATTTCCCAAATTGATTTGTGAATCAATAATCGCAACGTGCTGGGATTACAGGCGTGAGCCACCATGCCTGGCCTTCCATAAGACATTTAAAGGCACTTCCAAAGGTAGAATCAACAGACTTGCCAAAAGTCAGTGGCAAGATCTCTAGACTCAGACTTGCCTTTAAGTTCCCAACCCCAGCAACCCAAAGCCAATCAATTGTCCTCCCAGAGGAACATCAGATAGCAATTAGCACGTGATCTTCGACTTCTCCAGATCAGCTCCAAAATGATATCTATTACTAACAGGGGAAACATTGTGAACTGAAGTCTTTAACAGATAACATTAATCAAAAACATTTCTCCGGGTAAATGATTACATTTAAAATACGTTTCTCACCAACAAAAGGTTCTATAAATTTCAGACTGATCTGATGACAATTTAACTTAGTTTTTAAATGCATAATTATGTCAAATAAATGCCACTACAAAGGCCTGAATACAATCTCTGAGTCTAAGGTCCTCCACATCTTCTCAATTTCACATTTGATTATACATATATTTGAGAGTACATCACTCATTATTTGTTCTGGGAGTATTATTGAAATATTATCCAATATTTCAGATATTATGGAAACTAGTTGACTGGAAGTCAGTGCTACTCTTTCTACTAAAAGAGTAGGATCCTCATCAGTAGACAGAGACATATAAGAATATTCATACTACATCTACGAAGTGTCAGTATCAGGCAGTGGCTTCAAAGCCAAAGTGGTGGTTGGAAGTAAAGCGGAATTTTAATTGGCGAAGGAGGCAGATGGTAAGAAATATTGATTCAATAATAATGTGAAGTACAGGAATACCTGTGGCTGTAAAGAATGTTGAGCCGTAGAGTCCATCGGAGATAGGAAAGGGAGCCTCGAAATATTCAGAGACTTGTAGAACGGTAGAGTAAATACCTAAGGTAATTGTGATGGATAGTGCTTGAAGTATTTTCTTTCAACTACCTTCTCTCAGGCTGTCTACAACCTTGGAAGCTTCTTGAGAGCAAGAATCAAGTCTTTTACAGCTTCCAGCGTGCCTCTCTGTACACAACAGGTCCTCAATAAATAATTTGTTACCCTAGTTTATCATAAAATATAGGACATGCTTAGCTATACAGCATGATGTGATTCAATCACACCCAACCTATGAGTTATTTTTATACAGTCTTTTTGGGTGTATCTGTGTTTAATAACTTGTTTTCAAAGTTAGAGGACTGTAGCTATGGATTCTTCTTAGAGAACTTCACCTTGAGGGGCTCACAGTTTAATGGAACAGAGAAGTAGAAACCAAGAATTCAATGCAGAGAGTGAGGTTTTGCAGTACAGGGTGTATACAGGGTGTAGAGAAGCGCTGTGGCACCATATTCTGGCCTCATCTTCTACTGCTCTAGACTTCCTGAAAGGCCATTTCCTGACCCTAGCCGGACCTCTCTCTGTAGGCGCCGTTCTCTCTCCTTGGAACCCTTTTCCACACCTTCAGTGCCTGGCAAAGTTCTATTTCTTTGGAAGCTTCTTGACGCCTGCCTCTAACTCATCCAAATAATTGATTTGTCTACATCTCTGTTATTTCTTTATAAATAATTACAATCAATTCTTATTATTTGCAGTAGAAACATTCTATTATATAAAGTTGGTCGGAACACTGAATTAATCAAATACCAAACCTTTGTTTCCAGTGTAAATATATGCATATATACATACCTCACTTAGGTTATAATCTTAATTCCGAAAAACAACTCATCCGGGTAGATTGAATTTTCTTTATTTCCAAAAGAATAAAGGAAGTACAGAAGTGTTAAGTGACTTACCTGAAGCCATTCCGCTAACAGGTGCCAGAGTTATGATTCAGAGCCCGACCAATTGGCCCCAGAGCCACAGTATCTTACACTACCCTGCACTGTCCTCTACTGTCTCAGTCCTCAGGTCCTCTTTGTAGGAGAGTTGAAACAGGAAGACAGAGGGTCACATTGTTTGACCTTAGTTGGGGACATGTGCAAGGAGTGACAGAGTTTTCACTACTGTGTGTCTATCCAGGAGTCACCTTGAAAGCTCCACGAGTTTTAATTTGGGGATTACAAAGACATTTTAGCAAGTATGCAATTTTGCAAATATGGGATTTACAAATAATGAGGGTCAACTATATTTGTGAGTGACTGCTAGGGTCTGTTTCATGGTAATCCCTTCCCCCAGTAGTGTGCAATGTTTCTTTAGCTTCTTTGATAGTTTATTTATTCATTCATGTATTTATTATGTACTTACTATAAGCCAGGCTCTGCTTTAATCTGTGATGAACAAACTAGAGATTAAGGTCCTGCCCTGTGGAATTTATGTAAGAGTAAGAAAGACAGATAGCTAAGTCTGGAGCTCAGCAGGTGAGGCCCAGGTTGGAATTATAGATTCACTTGACCACGGTGAAACCTGGTGTGTGCCCTCCTACTTCACACCCCCAGACATAGTTCTGGAAGATTTCTGTTCTGTTCTTGTGTATAAACTCTTCCTTTTGAGCCTCTGTTCGTTGACACATGTCAACCTCTACTTGTCTTCTGTTGATTTTGAGGCCACTTGCCCATGTAACTGGCAGGACATTGAAGAAGAATCATACCGACCTGGTTCTGCTACCTACCAGCTGAGTTACTTTGGTCAAGCTCTTGGACTTCTGAGCCTGTTTCCTAATTTCAAAGGTGGTGATATGATGTGTTAGGCCCTGGAGGGTTGCGAGGAAGAGGCACGCACGTATGACCTTTGGTGATGAGGGCTGAATGTTAACTTGGATGGAAAGCCATCCAAGCAGCCATATTGTCACTGGCCCTAGTACTTTCAAAACCTCACAGAACATTAATTTACCAGTATTTAGGATTTGAGCTCTGAAGAACTATAGTGTGATTATTTGTTCATATAGCTATTTTCCATACTAGACCGTGAGCTCCATCATGGCAGGGTCTACAGTTTCATCTTTCTATCCTAGGCACTCAGTTCAGTGCCTGATACATACTAAAGAGGCACAAATGTTTAAAAAGTTGAGGAATTTTCAACTCTTCCTGAAAGAATAGGAAGACATAAAAGCTCCTCAGAGAAGGTATTATTTAAGCTTTTTTCTCTATTTCTTTCTTTCTTTTTTTTTTCAGATGAAGTGTCACTCTGTCACACAAGATGGAGTGCAGTGGCATGATCTTAGCTCATTGCAACCTGCACCTCCCAGGTTCAAGCAATTATCCTGCCTCAGCCTCCCGAGTAGCTGAGATTACTGGCCTCCACCATTAAGCCAAGCTATTTTTTGTATTTGTAGTAGAGACGGTGTTTCACCATGTTGAAGTAGTTCAAGACTGCAGGCTGGTGTTGAACTACTGACCTCAGGGGATCTGCCTGCCGTGGCCTCCCAAAGTGCTGGGATTACAGGCATGAGCCACCGTTCCCAGCCTATTTGAGCTGATTCTTTAAGGGTGAGTAGAAATTTTTTCCAGGTGACTAAAACCTTGAGACATTATTCCAAGCAGAGACCAGCAGGTGCAAAGACACAGGGATATAGAGATGTTGAAGTTTACCAAACACTGTAGATTAAGAAAACAAAAAGGAAACAATCAAAATCAAAACTTAAAATTAAAAGTCACCAATAAAAACTATGAATGGGCTTGGCAAGATGTCACATCACAATTGAGTTAGCTATGACCGTAGACACTCAGTAATGGATATAAGTTTTAGGGAAAAAACATAACATTCTCAGGTTGTTGGCAGAGTATCTAGAACAATTTAGAAATATAGGTATTGAATTCTGGGAGTAATTACACTGTAATGAAGTCATTTCCTTCTCTGTGTATGAAGCATGTATGTGTCGCACTCTGTTCAAGGTGCTGAAAATCAGACTCATCTCAAGGAGCTCATGAGCAATGAAGGGAGATGGATGGGTGAGCAACTGATTATCATGTGACAAGTGAGGTAATAGAGATATGGCTAAAATGCTATCTAAAGAAGAAGTAAGGCATTACTCGTAATATATGGAGTGCTGGGGAAAGATTTCTGACATGAAGCTGGCTGGGCCTGATGGCTCACACTTGTGATACCGGCACGTTGGGAGATGGAAGTGAGGGGAACCAGGAGGATCTAGGAGTTCAAGACCAGCCTGGTCAACAGAGCAAGACCCTGCCATCTCTATATTTGAAAAATAATTAAATATTTTTAAAGAAGTGATATTTGAGCACTCTGGAACGCCATACAAATGTGGGAGAGACTGAAGGAATATATGCAGCTTAATTTGAGTTTGCATTTTTTGAAATTTTGTATTGTAGAAGTATACATATTTACTGTTGTGGAATTAGAAAGAATTGATAGACAAGGAGGGCGGTCTACAAAGCACTCCTTAGATCCACCGTACTGAGACAGTGCTTAATGCTTTGATGGATTTATTTAAACTTTCTGTGCATATTCATGTATTGTATGCATACATGTGCATGGTTAAATAGAACGGGTTCTCCTTGGTGTTCTGTTTGTCCATTTATTGTTACAAAGTACGTCCCCAAAGAGTACGTTTGCTTTGCCCAAGAGAGTCTTTTGCTACATACTGCTGTACGTAATGAAAACTAAAAAAGGGGCCAAGTTTTCAGCCTTATGACCTTGTGGTGATTCAAGCAGAGGCTTCATCAAAGGCAGATTCAGAAATGAACTTGGTGTGTGCAGGTGGTTGTGCTTGACACTATTGTTTGTAATAGTATGATAGGGATGATTTCAGTGTCCACCAACAGGAACTGGTTAAGTAAACTGTGGTGCATCCAAATGATGCATACTGTGCAGCTGAAGAGAAGAACGAGAAAGACTCTGCACTCACGTAGAAGAACTCGGATCGATGGTGTGTGTGTTTTAAAAGGAAGAAGGAATGGTATCGTAGGTGTGGTATGCTACTTTTTGTGTTGAGAGAGAAGAGTAGATTAAGAATATACGTGTGTATTTGCAAAGATAAATTCTGAAATGATATATAAGAAACCAATTAAAAGTGTTTGGCTGTGGAAGGAGACTAAGACTGTGAATGGGATTTTGCCGCATACTTTTATAGATAGTTACATTTAGAAATTTTCTGAACTATATATTTGTACACATGACCCTTTTAAAAATAAGTGAATGAAGGAATGAAGTAGGATGATGAGAAAGAGATAAGGAAAAAGGATCTAAGGGGCTGCCCATCTTTTTAGTACCCAGTGAATCCTAATATGTAACAATAGCAGCAAAAATTGGAAGAGTAGCCCCAGGAGGGTAGGCAGTCAGCCTTTCCTTTGTCTTTTCCTCAATTTCATATATTAACATATATTCTGAGAATAATAAAACAGTTTGAAATAAAAATGTCTCCAGATCTCTTAAAATAAAAGAAAGATGAGCAGCTGTATGTAGTGCACTTCCCACAAATGGGCTGGATTCCCTCAAGAGGCAGGAGTTCTAGCCTACTTGGGATACATACATACAGGAGGAAAAATAAGAAAAAGAAAAGAGATTTAAAGATAAATAAATGAAAATAACACTTCTCCCTGATTATAAAGGAAATCACATTCTTTTTGTAAGGATTTGGATGACAAATGTTAAGAAAAATCTTTAATTTGCCACTCAAAACATTCTGGTGTGTTGTTTTTTATACTTTTTATACATGTAAATATTTTCAAAAGTAGAATCATATTAGATAGTCTTTTGCCACTTACTATATTTTGGGCATACTTCTGTCACAGGAAATATATCCTAGCATCATCATTTTTAATAGGTGGATGTATATTAAGTTTATCATTGCCGCCGCAGAGGTGAATTTTCTTATATATACATTTTAATGGAGTCGAGCAAGCATTTTTGGACTGAATTCATAGAAGTAGAATTTCCGGAGGGTAATAATTTTGAGGGTCTTTAATAGAAATTTTCAAATTATCCTCCAGGAAAAGTGTTTCAGTTTATACTCCCACCAACAGGAACAGAGCTCCAGGTTCCCCATTCTATTTGTCATCTTTGCGCCTTTATACAGAAAATGTCATTGTTTTCATGACATTTCCTTGATTTCTAATGCTTTTGAATCTTTGTTATATACCTGTTGGCCATTTTTATTTTTGTGAGAAGTGACTGTTTCTCCATTGCCCATTTTCTGTTGAAAATCATTTGTTTTTTGGGGTTTTTTGTTGTTGTTTTTTGATTTTTTGTGTTTTTTTCCTGAATAATTATAAAGATTTCTCTACAGGCTAAAGATACAATCCTTTTATTTGTCATTGAGGTTACTAAAACTTTCTCCTAGTAAGTAATTTGTTATTTCTTTCTATTTTTCTTTTCTTTCTTCCTTCCCTTCCCTTCCCTTTCCTTTTTTTCCTTTCCTTTCTTTTCCTTTCCTTCTTTTCTTTTATCTTTCATTTCCTTCTTTCCTTCCTTTTTTGTTTTCTTCCTTTCTTTCCTTTTCCTTCCTTCCTTCCTTCCTTCTTCCTTTCCTTTCCTTTCTTTTCCTTTTCTGTTTCCCCTTTCTTCCTTCCTTCCCTCCTCTCTCCCTCCCTCCTTCCCTTCCTTCCCTCTCTCCCTTACTCCCTCCCTTCCTTCCTTCCTTCCTCCAAACTCCAAAGTCACATTTCACTTAATTTTTATCCTGCCAAATTTGAAAGTGTTTTAACTTAGTGATTTTGGTGTAAACAGGAGCAGGAGAGAATGTAATTATCTAGGTCTCGCTGTGTCACCCAGGCTGGATTGCAGTGCCATAATCATAGCTACTGCAGCCTCGATCTCCCGGGAAGAAGCAATTTTCCCACCTCAGCCTGCCAAGTAGCTAGCATGACAGGTCTGTGCCACAACGCCCAGCTGCTTTTAAAAATTTTTTTGTAGAGATGAGAATTCCCTATGCTTCCCAGGCTTGTCTTGAACTCTTGACTTCAAGTAATCCTCCCACCTTGGCTTGTCAGAGTGCTGGGATTACAGGTGTGAACTACTGCTTCTGGCAGAGAGTTTAGTTTTGTTTACTACTGGTGTTCTTGGTATCTTCTCATATTTGAGGTTTTGGTGCTAGTGCTGAAGTATTACACTCACCATCCAAGGTTTACAGGACTTTTGTTTTAATATGGAACGGATGGAACTGTTTAGTTCTGCATCTTTGCAGGTATACATAATGTGCCTACCAGGACTCTGCTTTATATCCATTGAAAGCAAGACGTAATACAGTAAAACTTTGCCTGGCTAGAGGCTTTGAAGGAATGGAGTGTTCTGTTTGAATTCTATTCACTTGGAAGTATGAAGGTGAAAACAATTCAGAACTTAAATTTCCTTTGAATGCAATTTGGAAGTATAGCCAATGATTCCACTTTTCTTCTCTAGTAGGTTTGGACATTCTGATCTACTTGGTGTTTTATGATAGAACTCCTAGTGTGCCTGAGACTTAGATTTTGAAGATACTTTCTTAAAACTTTAGCTGTCAGATAATATAAATGGTTTTCTATGAGATAAGGCTGGATGAGAACTAATACTTGTACGTATACTTTTTTGACTGAACTTCTGATTGCCACTTGTTTTCTTTTGGAACTCATGAAAATAAAACACATTGGATGGAGGGTGGGAGTAGGAAGGAGAGTTATGTGTTTTAATTGCATGTGATTGTTGCATATCGAGACACAACATAGAGTATCCCTGGCTTTTGACCTACAGAAGAAAACACATTTTTCTACCTGCTATACGGCAGAGGTTCCCGAACACCTGGAGGGATGACTGCAGCACAGATTGCTGAGCCCTGCTCCTGAGTGTCTGATTCACCAGGTCCAGGGTAGGGCCTGAGAATTTGCACTTATGAAAAGTTCTCAGGTGCTGCTGGTGCTGCTAGTCCAGAGACTGCATTACTGAGAACCACTCTTGTCTACTAACTGCAAATTGTAGAACTCTACACAAAAGCTTAGTTTGGTCTGGGATAAGAAGCACACAGGTTATGGAGCAAATCGTGAAAGATTCAACCCTTGATCCCAGCCTTGTGTGAACTCCAGGTACCAATTAGTACACAGTGACATAACACAATTCTTGGTTTTCGTGATTGCAAGTGATAGCCAAGTATCAAGTGAGAAATTCAGTTTTGTTTGCAAGCCTTAGAGAGGCCAGGTGATTCTAGAAAAATGGGCCTTGTATTTGTTTTAAACTGGTAAAGAGCTTTGAGTGCTTATTAAATTGAAAGCTTTTTAAATCTATTTTGTATTGTATTGTATTTCTTTTGAGATGGAGTCTTGCTCTGTCGCCCTGACTGGAGTGCAGTGGTGTGAGCTTGGCTCACTGCAACCTCCGTCTCCTGAGTCCAAGTGATTCTCCTGCCTCAGCCTCCCAAATAGCTGGAATTACCGGCACCCACCACCACACCTGGCTAGTTTTTGTATTTTTAGCAGAGATGGGGTTTCACCATGTTGGCCAGGCTGGTCTCGAACTCCTGACCTCAGATGATCCACCCGTCTCAGGTTCCCAAGGTGCTGGGATTACAGGTTTGAGCTTCTACACCTGGCCCAAAACCTCTGTCTTTTTCTAGATATTAAACATGCTTCTTGTTTGAGGAAAAAAAAAAAATCTTAACAATAACATAGGAGAATAAGAGAAACGTTTTTCCAAAAAAGAAAAATCATTGTGATTATTTTATCTTATTGGAATGTTGTATAATATAGTCTGCTTCATTAATCATCAAGCATGCTATGGATTTTCCATTTTTATAAGATCTGTATCTCAGTTCAGGTAATACTGATAATTTTTGTACTGTATTTGAAGATAAAGGTATAGGCCAAAATCATAGACCTTGCATAGAAACTAGGTAATGAAGACAGCTCTAGATAAACACGTAGATACACACACACAGACACACATCTATATATAAAGTATGCACACACATATTTTTTAAAGTTTTAAAGCTTTTAAAGCAAAAGCTGGCCCCTTCCCTCTCCCAGAGTGGGCAGCCCCTCCCCTCTTTCACAGTGGGCGGGAACAGCGGTTGCATGAGTAGCTTTCCTTATGAGCCAGGGGTCCCTCTGGACACACTGCTGCCTGGCCACGCCCCTTTCCCTTTCATCTTTCTCCGTGACCAATAGGCTTGGAGCATCAAGGCCACGCCCCTATTCTACATTCTACTGGTGCCCTGGTTACCACTCCTGTGGCTCAGTCACACAGCTGCCTGGTAGGTGACTGGAGGTCTTGATCAGTGCTCGCTGGGATTTTGCTGTTGTGGCCCCAACCCCACCTCCCTTTCCCACTCTGCGATGGCAGAAGAAACTCCACAGAACAGATTGGCCGCAGCCAAGAAAAAGGTAAAAACGCACCAGGTCATGGCCCCCAACCCAGCTACAGATCCCCTCCGACGACAAGACTGCTACCACAGCCCATATCACTGCTGAGGCACACTGGACAGGGCCCTCCAATGCACGTGCCTCTGGGCTCCCCCTGCAAAAGTCTTGTCAGCCAGCCCTGCCCCTTCAGCATCAGCCCAGTCCCTGCTCTCGCCAATCACTCCAGGGTGACTCTGCCCTTTCAGCATCAGCCCAGTCCCTGCCCTTGCCAATCACTCCAGGGTGACTGTGGGCAGGTGACTCCTGGGGCTCCCCTCTCCATTACTAGGCCCTCACCTCCTGCCGACCCAAGCTCGACCTCCCTGGGCTCTTTGCGCTCTTGTCTCCAAGAACCTGGGTTCCCCAGCCCCAGGCCCCACCCTCGCCAGTCATCCCTGGGTGACTTTGGGCTGGTGACTCCTGGAGTTCCCTGCTGCAGACTCTGCCCTCCTCTCCTGCTGCCTCAAGGTCAACCTCCCTGGGCTCTTTGTGCTGGCGTCTCCAAGGACCTGGGTCCCAACCCTGTGTTTCCCTCCCCCATCGTGGAGTGGTAACTCGGACATTGCGCTGATGTGGTCCCTCTCCCCAATCAGGAGGAGTGGAATGTAGTGATGTCACAGTCTGCCTAGGAACTGTCATTACTGGAAGACCGGCCTTTGATCTTATGACCCAGTCCCCTAAGTGTTCTCACCCCATTTCTGGTTCCTCTGCTCACAGCGCAAATTTCCAGCTGGAAGGGGAATGGAGACTGTGGGACCTAGGAGCAAGAGGTTCCAGGCTGCCTCACTCCCTTAACATCGACATTGACAGGGGGGAAAGCCTACACTTCCCCCGTGAGCACAAAACGTTGACCGTACCTCCATGTGGCAATGGGAGAATGGGTTTGGTTTGGTTTTCTCCCAGGCTTCTACTTTCCAGAGAGATTTTAACGTTTTTTTCTGAGTTCTCCACCTCATATTCTAATTCTCCATGGTTCTGGGACCAGACTGCCCTTCAGTCAGTCGTCTCTGAAGTGAGATTTGCTCATCTTCTGTGGAATAGATCTTGGGAGACTGACTTGACAGCCTGACTCTTCCTCATATTATCTCGACCTGGGGTACTTTGAGTGCCACAGGATAAATGTGAGACATCTTTCTGAAGCATCAGTTTCCCTTGATTCTCTTGAGATCAAGAGAAAAAACATGAATATACTTAGGGATGACAGTCACATAGGTTTCTAAGAGAATACCAGACTTCTCTCTGAAATGAGACTTGGGTAGTCCTCTTTCTGATAAATTCCGGGATTTAACAGAAAGGCTGCCTTCTGCCGTGAGGATACATTGATAAGGAAGTTTGAGAGGTACTGGTGCACTTCTTCACACTGACAGACGTGTGAGGATGTATGACTCTAAACCGCAGGGCATACGGTTCCTGCCTACTTAGTGTTTACTTTTGTACCTCTGCCTCTGGTTTTAGTCCCTGGCAGCTGCTGATTCTTGGCAAGACCCCAGAGCTTGGAGTCAGAAGACTGAGTTTCAAAGTTCCAGTATTGCCTTTTTCTTTTTCTTTTTTCTTTTTTTCTAGCTATGATATCAATCCCTCTCAGTCCCTAAAAGATTTTGACAACACCTATTATACAGCTGTTGGTGTCGTCAAATCAGATGGTGTATAAGAGTCTTTTGTAAAAACTGTAAGGGAGGATGTGGCTGTAGGGGCCGATAGGTCTCATGAGGATTACTGCTCTTCTTTCCCACAGTTAAAAGAATATTGGCACAGAAACAGCCCTGCTGTTCCAGCAGAAGCAAACAGGAACAGGAAAACAAATGGCAGTAGCCCTGAGACATCCACTTCTGCTGGTTGCCACTCAGCTCGGGATGTGAGTCTTGGTGGCCAGGCTCCTGGGGACAGGGGACCGAAGGGGCAGTAGAGGGTAATTGTTAAGATTGTGGATGGACCGTTGTGTACTGGTTAAGAATTCTGGGTTTAGCCAGGCACAGTGACTCACGTTTGTAATCCCAGCACTTTGGGAGACCAACCCGGGCAGAGCACAAGGTCAGGAAATTGAGACCATCCTGCCTAACATGGTGAAACCCCATCTTCACTGAAAAATACAAAAAAAAATTAGCCGGCATGATGGTAGGTGCCTGTATTCCCAGCTGCTCGGGAGGCTGAGGCAGGAGAATGGCATGAACCTAGGAGGCGGAGCTTGCAGTGAGCCAAGATCTCGCCACTTCACTCCAGCCTGGGAGGCAAGGCGAGACTCTGTCTCACAAAAAGGAAATAAAAAAACGAATTCTGGGTTTGAATCCTGCCTTTCCGTCTGCTAGGGATATGATTTAGGGCAAGTTGCTTGAGATTTTCGGGCCTCTTTTTACACATCTGTATAATAGAGGTTCTATTGTTTGACTTCCATTTGTGAGGTTTAAATGAGATTTCTTATTGTTGTTTTTATGTTAATCCCTAGTACATGGCCTGCTGTAAACACTCAGGGCACCCAGGATATGGTCATTGCTCATCCCCAGTCTCAAGGGGAAGCCAGGACAATGAGAACAGCCACTTGCCATCAGGAGTCACTGATTTCAGGCCCCAGGGTGGGATGGTGAGGAAGTAAGAGCCATGAGAGAAGTTGGCACAAAGGAGTTACGGGACAAAGGGTCCAAGAGAGGCAGAAAAGAAAATGTTGCCAGTTGATGTGAATGAAAGGAAGTCAGAGGGCTTAGACACTGAGGGGAACAGAATATCTCCATGTGTACTCTCTTGTAGTCAGCAACAGGTATCCACAGGGCGGACCCTACATCATGTGCTACCCTGAAGGATCTGGAGGTGGGAGGCTCTGGGTGGAGGTGCAGTGACCAGGCAGGCCAGCCCTCCAACCTCCTCCCACAGCAGGGACTGGGTGCCCCTCTTCCAGCTGAGACAGCCCACACACACCCCAGCCCTAATGATTGTTCTCTCTACCTCTCCCCCCACTCCTGCTCCACCTCCTCCCCTCTGCATGCACCTCAGAGCCTGTGCCAAGAACAAGCAGTAGTCCTTGACTCGAGGTCCATCAAAATCAGTCGACTGAATAACACCATCAAATCTTTGGTAAGAGTCCAGTGGGGTCCCCAGATTCCAGGCTGCCAATCCTGGGCTCCAGGTTCCTCTTGGGGCTCTGAAGAAAGGGGCTGGGGACCGTGGTGCAAAGGACAAATGGGGAGCTGGGGTGCCTAAGCCTCACCTGGAGGGACCCCAGAGCACGCACCATGGCTGTTCTTTTGCTGCCCTCTTTGCCGACTGTCTCCTCTCCACACACCCCTGCTGGAGTCCTTGCTACACACGCCCTGGGGTCGTTGCCTCTCGGGGAAGTGCGAGCCTGACTGGTTGTCAGGGGCCCCGTATTTCTGCCGTGACTCAGTCCCTAATTTGCTCTTTGATTCTGGACAAGCTGCCTCTCCTTTTTGGGCTCGTGTTTCCAGAGGAGGTAGTGAGTATCAAAAGTGTCTGTTAGCTCTGAGAGTCCGAGATTTAAAAGCCCCCTAGAATGGAAACCTCAGGGCCAAGAGCTCCTGTCTGTCCTTTTCCGTCCTATATATACTGTGAAGAGTCGTACCTGGCCCATACGTGCTCAGTCAATGTTTATTGAATGAACGCACTTTTCTAAATCACAAGCGGGCAGGAAGGGGCCTTTCTCCAACTCCATCTCTAGAGGTTTATGTTCCTGTCCTCTCAAGAGATTTCAGATTCACACTTTGAGTTCTGTGGCTGTGGGTGAAAACCAACAAAGACCCAAATCCTCTGTCCTGGGAGCTTGAGGAGAGTTGACCAGTTTGTGTTCCCGTTGGGTCTGAGAACTTTGCCTTTAAAATCCATTCCTGGCCCCTGCCTACCGCTTCCTGGCCTGGGGAATAGAGTTGAGGGGGCCACCCTCCATCACCTTAATTTGACTCTCCCCACAGGAACAACAGAAGAAACAAGTGGAACATCAGCTGGAAGAAGTAACGTGATTTCTTTGCTCACGACATGACGGCTGGGTTTGGGGGGCACTCAGATGTAGATGCCCCAGTCTCGTCTCACCCACTCCCAGCCTGGGGAAGAAGGCTCACCCCTCAGATTCCACCCCATCCCCACAGGGTCCCTGATAACCTGGTCCTATGAGTGGGCCTGTCCTGGGGCATTGGTGGCATTCTGGGGGCATGTCTCTTGCTGTGCCATCTCTGCCTCCCCCTGGTAAGAGCTCTGTCTTCCTCTTCCTATAGGAAAAGAAGGCAAACAATGAGAAACAGAAAGCCGAAAGGGAGCTAGAGGTGAGTGGAGGGTGTGAAGTTTTCTCCTGTCCTCCGGGGAATGTTTCTTTCCTTCTCTTTCAGCACTTGTTTGGCTTTTCTCCTAAAGGTTCAAATCCAGAGATTGAACGTACAGAAAAAGAAACTAACTATAGACCTGTATCACACGAAACGCTCTCTCATAATCTTTGAAGGTGGGAATCTGGGCACCCTATCATCCTTCAACCTGGCACTTGGATAGGTCTTTCGTGGGAGTCCTTTGGGCCCCATCTCAACTCTCTCATTACAGAAGAGTCGAAAGATCTGGCTGCCCGCCTGCAACGTTCATCGCAGCGTACGGGAGAGTTAGAGCGGGCTCTGTCTGCTGTCACCGCCACACAGAAGAAGAAGGCGGACAAGGTGAGTCTGACCACCTGCCCCATCTCCTGGGAGCCCGGCTTCGCAGATGGAGGAGTGAGCCTAAGGGTCCCTTCTGCAGGATGGAGTGTCCTGCCCAGAAGGCGGCATGGCCATGTCTCGCTGCTTTTGTGTCTGGTTGTTAGAGGCAGCCTGGGGCTGAGTCAGCTGCTGTGGGTGAGTTGGGGGGTGCGGTGGGGAGCGAGCACTGGACACAGAGCTTGGAGGCCAAGTGCCTGCCCTGCCCTTACCTGGCTGGGGTCTTGGCCAAGTCCTAGGTGGGGTATTGGGTACTTGTACTGTGAAGGTACAGAAGAGTACCTTTAGTATGTTACCATTTCTGTAGAGAGAGGAAACCTGTGTGTGTGTGCGTGTGTGTGTGTGTACATACTATGAAAATGTACATAAAATAAGACTGCAAGGTTCATAAAAAACTCAGGAGAGAGCAAGAGGGTGGCTGGGAGATACTTCCCTTCTGTACCTTCTGAATTTTGGACTATTCGAATGTATCATCCTTTCAAACAGTGAACAAGAGATTCAGTTTCCCCTTCCTATCTGTGTCCCCCAGCAAGAAAATGGGCTTAGAGAATCGGATAGATCTGGCTGTTCAAATCCCAGCTCTGCCTAAGTGATCTTAGGCAAGCATTTAACCTCAAATACTCCATGTGTTTTCATGTACACAATAGAGGTCATCATAGTAACTGTCTCCTGTGGTGGTTGTGAGGATTAAATGGGATTGCTAGCATGGTGCCTGGTGAAGCACTCCATAAAGGTTCAAACAGTGCTAGTAATAACAGTAATAACAAGAGCAATATTATCTGATCTCTCTGGGCCTCTGTTAGGCAGCTGTAAATTCCATCTCTTTCCCTGTCCCTTCCAACTTTACTGAGTTCTTTTAAAAACCAGACCACGGGTAAATGCCTCGATCTGTACTGACCGTGTTGTATACTGAGCCTAGCCCTAGCCTGTTTAAGGGGCACTGTATGGAATGGCCCAGGTTCCCCAGATAGAAACTTCTCACTCTTCACCATCCAGTCCTCGATGCACAGTGAAACACTTCTCAAGACACAGTTAGAGCGGTCCTTACAGGAGG